CCTGCAAGGAAAATTACCCAAGGTGGTCATTGTTTGTCAAAACAGTGCCACGTCCGCGAAGTGCAAAGGAAAAACACTTTGCAAGCTGTCAAGAGGGGTGTAGGAAGGATGTGGAACGTTGTTTTGGTATCCTCCAAGCTCGTTGGACGATTGTAAGGGGTGCTGCCAGAATGTTTGATTTAAAGTCGCTTCGATCCATCATGATGACGTGCATCATTCTTCACAACATGATTGTGGAAGATGAGTACGATTATGATGCCGTTGATGAATATGAGCCAGACACAATGAACAATTCCATAACACAAATATATTGTGCTCATGACGCCATCGAAGAACCTTTGCAACACGAGCCATTACAAAGGGGTGGAAGTTACAATGAAAGGCTCATTCAGCGATATACTGCGATTCAAGACCCATATCTGCACAATGCTTGGCAAATTGACTTGATAAAGCACCAGTGGGAATTGAAACAAGCTCAAGAAACTTAAGTTCATTTAGTGTGTTTGTTTTTATTTGGTGTGTTTGTTTAATTTTATTTGGTGTGTTTTTTAAGTTCATTTAGTGACTTTTTTTTTTATTTGGTGTGTTTGTAATTTTATTTGGTATGTTTATGTAATTTTATTTGGTGTGTTTATGTCATTTGAATAAATATACTCTTAGTTTAAATAAATTACCAAATTAAATAAATATACTCTTAGTTTAAATAAAGTACTAAATTCAATAAATTGAAACAACATAAAGTACTCTATTCAATAAATAAGAAATTACAACCCAAAGCGAACATGTGGCCCAACCGTTGGTATGAGAATTCAAATTTTTTTACTGTTGGGAATCCTACGGCCTAGAAATATAGTAGTTGGAAATCCAACGGTTGAGAACAACCCACATCGCCCCCTTTTAGAAGAGTCCGAGTGCGCCTGCAAGTGGGCCCTGCCACCTGCCTTTGGTCGGCTCACTCGCCATGTTTCGCACGTTAAAGTCACGGGCCTGAAGCAAAAAAAAAAAAATTAATAACGTGGATGATCTTAGATAGCCTCAAAAAAGGCCTCGTGCCATTCTCACCCGACTGCCTTGCCCGTTGGAGTTGGGCCCACTCATTCGGTGAGGAAATTGGCATGGGCTGGAATGGGGATTCAATCACCGTGGGGCAATTTGTAGGGTGGGATGGGATTGCTCTTAAGGCGGGCAAGGGATCAATACCGTATACTGCGCTGGTATACGAAAAGAACAGATAGGAAGACGCTCTTTCTCTCCGTCTCAGTCTCATATCCGACGACAGACCGAGCAACCAGGTACTCGATTTGCTTGAATATATTTGCTGTAATTAATTAATTAAATTTAGTTAGGTAGGTTAGGGTTTGGCTGCTCTCTCAGTTTGCTTCTATTTTTGTAGTTTAATTTTAATTCAGGGTTTGGTTCTAGCAGCTAACATGGATGATGAACCGATTTTTTTGGGTTTTCTGAAACAGGGTTTATTTGGCAACCAACGAACGAGTGAAGGCGAACACAGGCTCGATCTCATCGATTAGGTAAACGTAACTCTCTCTCTCTCTCGTTGAAGCAATTTCAGGTTTGGTGTTTGAATTAATGTTCCAATTTTCAGTTTTGGGGTTTGAATTAATTCTCTAAATTTCAGTTTTGGGGTTTGAATTAAGGTTCTAATTATTATCATGAGATCCATGAAGCAATTTCGGTTCTTAGGGTTTGATTGGCAACGAATTGTATGATTAATACTGTGATTGATATATGTATCAGTGCATTGCAGAGGTAATCGATGGAGGCTGCTGGCGATATCAGTGCTCGCAAGGGAGTTACGGTTGGTGCTGTGTCCGCCCTTGTTTCCCAATATAACAAACTATCAGTGTGTAACACCTCGGAGCATCTCATAAGTACTAGAAACTCTACGGGCAAGGAGGAGGACGAGGATGCACATCAACCGAGCTATAAGGCTAAGAAGAAGAACAGATATCTGGCTGCCAAAAAGCCGGCCTATCGTTCACCAAACAAGAACAAGGCGGCCTATCAATTTCCCGCTATGCCACCATGGCCATGGCCAGTTGCTGAGGACATGCCTGTTGATGAAACCCCCTTTCCCGAATGTCTCTACCTTTTGACTGATGGTGATGGTCGCAAGATTGCATTATCTGATGAGCCTTTTGACTTGGAAGATTTTTATGCTGATCTAGAGAAGGCCGATGCCAGGACGAGGGAGTACCTGATCTGGAGGGAGGAGGAGAGGGAGAAGGAGAAGGAGGCTAAGTGCAGAAAGCCGCGAGGAACGAGGCTAGGAAAAAGGCGGGCCATAATTCGGGGTCTGGCGAAGTGACCCTACCCTACCCTTGAAGTAGGTAGGAGGAGATTGTGTAACTTCTATGGATCGACACAAGGACTTGTCAAGGAGGTAGTCACTTCTAGCTAAGATATGTAATAAGTGTTTTTACTTGTTCGTACTGTATTTTCGGAACAATTTGTAATGTTGACGTTAAGTGTATATTCGATAGCATCTATGCCTCAAATTATTTACTTGTGTTTGGCTTTTGGCAAGAAGACTTTTTTTTAGTAGAGGTTTAGTAGCATAAATAGGTTAACCGTTGGTAGGCTTATAGCAAGCAGGCTTTTTTTTCTTTTTTTGTGGAGAATATGATGATGGGGTGTGTCGTTCGTGTGTGTATCTATCGACTTATGTTCCCAACAGAGTGCCGGTTGCTGCTTAGTAGGACTCTGTTCATGGTTTTCTCCATCCCCTCCCCTCCCCTCCCCGTCCATGCACGGGTTTTGATCCCCGCCCCTTCAGATACATTTTAATGGTATTACAATGGCACCCGGTCGTCCATCTCCTCCGTATGTCATCATCCCACACGCTTTCAGTTTCAGTTTCAGTTTTGCCAAGTGCTTGAACATCTTCCTCATGTTGGAGTGTGAGAGAAGCTATGGGGCGTTGGTTCATGTCTAAATTGGCAGCCAGAACGGATTTCATTTCCAAGCATGTAAAATGTCCAACACAAATACATGAAAGTAAATTTAACGATGATTTTTTAGAATTTCCGTTGTGGCCTATTTTAGTGACAAGGGAATAAGGGGTTGCGACAAGGAGAGAGAGAGTGGAGAAAGTGTAGGAATTTCTCTGTGTGATCAAGCGAGTATACTTGGATTGTTCCCCTGAGTTTGACATAATTCCAAAGAGAACTAACAATTTACAACTCAAAAAGTTTACGCATATCAATTCCTTGAACAAGTTTCTGAAACGTCGTCTTCGGCAAAGACTTGGTGAAGAGGTTGGCCAAGTTGTCCTGGGAACGGATTTGCTTGACTTCAATCTTCTGATACACTTGTTGCTGATGTGAGGAGAAGAACCTTGGCGCAATGTGATTGGTGTTGCCTCCTTTGATGTATCCCTTCTTGAGGAGAAGACTTTTATGGATCGACACAAGGACTTGTCAAGGAGTTAGTCACTTCTAGCTAAGTAATGTAATCATCAGGTGTTTTTACTTGTGCGTATTGTATTTTCGGAACGATTTGTAATGTTGACGTTAAGTGTAGCATCTGATGCCTCTAATATTTACTTATGTTTGGCTTTTGGCAAGCAGACTTTTTGTTTTCCGTTTTGAGTTTAGCGTGCATGGCCAATTTCAGTAGAAATGAATCCTGATTTCTTGGATTCAATCGATTGCACTACTAATGCAGTAGCCAGTAATCTGTCAATTAAAATTGTTTGACATGCGCACGACACTCTTTAGAGAGTAATACAGTTACTCATCCATAAGCTCTTAATATGCAAGTTACGTGACTTAAATTGTCGAAAAATTAAACATAATAGCTTCCAATCTAATAGCACAATTGTTGTCGGAACGTTTTTTAATCACTCTCTCTCCAAAACCTCTTGGAAAGCTACATTAAAGGTAATAAGTATTTCATTAATAAAATAAAATGAGGAACATCATCCATAAGGAATACATTTTCATGATTACAAACCCGACAAAAACACAATACAGTTGCTATCTACATATATAACCACCACATCTAACCAAACAGAAAGATAAACGCTCACAAGGAGACTTATGTTCGGATGACCATATGAGTACTTGAAGGCTTCCTCTATCCTCATTAGCAACTACACAACACTTTCTTGGTATAGTTCGCCTGGTGGACTAGAATATTGCCAGAACAATGTTCGATCTTGAGGCCGAGACAATATTGAGTTTTCCAAAATTTTTTAATCTCAAATTTTGACTTGAGGTGCACCACAATTTTTTTCTGGCTCTTTAGGAGCCCCGTTGAGATTAATGTTATCGACATAAACTTCAACTATCGTAAATTCGAAATGTGACTTGATGATAAACACGCAGAGGCATATTTTGTTATACGCAAAAACCCTCGCTCTACGCAAAACACTTCTCACGCACCCAACCCTCCCTCCCGTCAACATATCTTCAGTTTGGATAAGTAAATATCATTGTCTTGACAACCGGGCTATATCTTTAGTTTGGATAAGTAAACAACACTGAAGTCATAGAATCTAGCAACATATAAGCACCTTCAATTTTGAAAAGTAAGCAACAATGCTTCTGGGTGGTTGGTTATATACCAAGTCTCTGGAAGCGAAGAGCTCTCAACTTTTTCGCCCAAAAGATGTCACTTCAATAACTTCCAAGTGAAATGAGGTGTTTTATAATTAGTTACTCTTAGATGCATTTCATAATTCGACGTACAGAAGACCGACTAATGTTCACTACTATAAAGACACATACCATTTTACCGTGAAAAAGAATAGAGAAAAACTAATTTAGGAACCAAATGGATTACTCAAATACAATTGGAAATCCGAAGAGGCCTTTGGAAAAGTTTCCTTAAAAAGTAAAAACAAGAAACTAATAATGTTGAGTTTTGCGTGCGGAATACGAAAAATGTAATAATCCAAACCATTAATGGTTTCCCACTTCCCAGTCCAGTCCCAGTCCCATCCACTGTACCGTCTTCTCCGTCATAAACGACTTCGTGGGTTGAGGGTCACACTTTAAACCCGACCCGCCGCCTCTTATCACCACCGCCAGCGCCACCGCAAGAAAATGAGCAAGAGGGTGTCCGGTCCCAAGCTGAGGCGTATGTATTGGGGTTTGGGTCGACTCCGGTCGATTCTCATGGCGACGGCGACAATTGACATTGCTAATTTGCAAGTGTTTGTAGAGGTATTTATTTATTGCTCCTCCTCGATTCTCATGCTAAATTTTAGTTTAAAGTATGAAACTTTTTCATGTTTTCCTTCCTGTAATCTCTCTCTCAGCAACAATTAGTTTAATATTATCAATAAAAGTTGTTTTGGTGTAGGGAATTGATGAGAGAGAGAGAGAGAGAGAGAGAGAGAGAGAGAGAGGGAGAGGGGTTGAAAGCTTGAAGCTTTTAAAAAAAATTTCTCGCTTATTTGTAATGCAGAATGGAGGACGGACATTGCTGAGCTATCTGGGCCTGACTTTCGAGGTTTGCATTACATCGGTGGATGGTAAACTAAAATCTGCTGGTCGACATTGTTCTCGCCTGCAAAGTACATGGCTTTCGAACTACATATGGACAACCTAAAGCTAGCGCTCTCGTATACTTGTCCCCAGAGACCTTGCGGTTGCGGTTTCAGGTGATTTTTTTATACTCAAACGTCCGATGACTGATGGCAAAGGTGGTGCTGGTGTTGTATCTGATGATCCACTTTCAACAACTTCAGTGCCTTGTTCTATTTCTGCTTATGGGTGTTAGTGGCTGCTCTAGAATTGGTGGTTACTTATGAATTAGATTTCTTGAGTATTTACTTGCATTTGTATCTTCTAAATCTTTTGTCTATACCTACTTTTTGTCTTGTGTTGCTTGCAGCATGAGATAACTTTTGCTTCTAAGATTAACTTATTTTTGTTCCAACTTCGAATGTGGTGCCGGTTGATGCAGGTTTGCCGCGAAGGAAATCTTCCTCCAGATCCCCTGCCACTGTTCAACTAGAACTTGGTCTGGTTGATACATTTCTCAGATTTTGTAGGCTTGGATGGCAAGCTGGCTGGTTGAAATTGATTTCAGTTTCTTTTGTCCTTTGCTCCTCACCCAACAGAGTTGAACAGATACTGCTTTATTTTGGGTTCGAACATGTAACAGCTGCTGCTGCCTCTCACAGTGTTGGTAAACTTATGGGAAAAAGCAGATGGGGCACCTTTCGCGAGTCATAATGTACAAAAACGTCAACCACTACCTATTTTCCTTGAGCTCGTCCGAGGCCCGTTTATCTCTAGGGTTACAATTCATTGATTTCCTTGGCGGGAAAAGCTCTCTGCGGTGAGGGTCCTATTAGCAGTGCACCTTCATAATATTACCCTTTGTTGCATTGCATATATGTTCATACTTTCTTTGTCCATTTATGTTCTGTCATAAAGAAATCTGACTTCCACAGTGAAAGTGGAAATTATTTTTATGAAATGTTTTTAAACTGGAGAAGAAAAAGTTTTCTTCATTTCTTTGTATTTTGTGAATTAAATTTCATCAGTTAATACTATAATTGTCTTACCTCCCCGCACAGGATATCTGCAAACAGTTCAACTTGAGCTGAGAAAGTCCTTAGCTTGGAGGCATTGCCAGATCCTATATTACATGTTTGAGAACGGTTGATCATTTTTTAAGCAAACCACGAGGCAGTAAAAGTAATTTCAGCTTCGCATCTCTCTTGGGTACCACCAATGACATCGAGTGAAGAACAGGCCGCCCTGGTGAATTTCTTCCCAGTGCTACCTTGCTCTGTTTATCTGCTTTTCCACATAATTGTGTCCAAGAAGATGCTGCTTTAGTTGCTGAAGAGCTATCTGCTATGAATTTGAATCCTTACAGCCATTCACTTCCCCTATTCGGAGCTCTAGGAAAGTTCGTCTTAAAGAGCGACCGTCAGGTAATAGTTATATTGGATCCTCCAATGCCGTACACATAATATCTTCCATTTGGTTTAAGATCTGAAATTCTAATGCTATGAATTGTTTGGCCTCATTTAGTCAATATTTCCAAATTTTGAGATACCGTATCATTTTCTTTTGACATAAAAGTAAGTAAATAGATAAATAAAAAGATTTTAAAGTGATTTCAATGAGAGACGTGAACGAAACTGGAAAGTTTTCATAAAGATCTGCGTACATTTATGTACCAATAATGCATCGATACCTGGTGTAGCACGTGTGAGAAGTGTGTCAATTCGCGAAAATAAATTATTGCACCTTCTGACATGCTCTATAGAGAACCTTTTCTTACTGACTACTGGATTTGTATGATAGTATTCCTGGTCTTGTCTATTTTGGCACTATACACAAATAGGATGTATTGCTATTTGGAGTGTATGCAAGAAGGGAGGGGAATACTGATCATGCAAGAAGGGAGGGGTCTTCATTTAGCACGGCATTTTCATCTGTCGAGTGTTTGATGGCTTACTTTGGTAAGGTCTCTAGATGTTTATTGAAAATATGTTTTATTGTATATCAATTTAGCTACTGATATTTGTTTCATAATTTTTTTTTCTCTGTCCAATATGAGTTTTTTTTTTTCGTGAGGTGGTTAGACTTTGGATGTATTGTGTTTATTGGGAATGACTAGAACTTAGATTTTCGCCAATTTGGCATCAGAGTCGTTGAGGGGTTAGCTCTTTCTTTCGTCAAATTGATAATTCCTTTCAATAATCTTCAACCCTCTGTGTGAAGGTTTGTCATGGACTTTGTTGGCATTTAGACATTGTGTTTACTTTAATCTTCCACTATTGATTTGAGGAGGAATTACGGTCGGATGCTTCGCTTCTATAAATCTGGGATGCTGAGACGGAACTTGCCAACGAGCATGGCGATGGGTGTGAATCATCATTTCATGCAATGCATATTTTATTTTGCTTAGGAAGTGGTGCAATATGAAGTCTGCAGAATGTCAACCATTGGAATTGATGGGAGCACGGCAAGGTTTCATGGAAAGAGTAAGGACAGTACAAATGGCACGGGTGCAAGGTGGTATACATGGATGATCAGTCGGTTGCTCTCATATGTTTCTGATGCTTTATTTGAAGAGTTAACCTCTGGATCAGGCTTTTGCAATGGTGCTTCCAGGTAGTTCTCCTGTGCGTCTCCTCATGTCCTGTAGTGCTAGTAAAATTATATTTGATTCAAGTAGCTTTACTTGATCCTGTCAGTCATATTCCGTAGTTCTGCTGCTGTGTAGAAAGGGTGTCTTTTGAGTAGCATACTTTTTAAGTAGAGTAAATAGCGTAGGTGTTAGCGGTAGGGTATTGAATGCTTTAAATTTACTAAAGAATTACGAAAAAGGGTTGGTGAAGGTATGGAATCTCAATCTCATAATACGCATGCGTTAGTAATGATGCCGAGCATCACTTTGATGGCATGTTTACGTAAGGGTAATCGGAATAAAGAAAGGGAATTGAATTCCGATTACGGAGTATTCTGGTGTTTACTAAATATTAAGGAATCAAAAAAGTGGTGGAGCCCACACGAAACAAGGAATCCAATTCCTGAAATTGGAGGAACCGGATTCCCTAGTTTTGTGAGGTATTTGAATTCCCTAAGGGCAAGGGAATTAGGAATGCATATTTTATTCCAATTATGCCCTCACTTGTTTCTTATTATCCCAACATTGCCCTTCATTTGACACTCATTATGTCATTTTTAATAAATAAATAAAACCTATTTATATTTTTTTATATAGATAATTTTATTATATAAATTTAATTAAGAATTTAATTTAATTAATTAGTATGAAAATAATTTATTTATGTAAGGGCAATTTAGTCATCAACTTAGTTTTCATTCCGATTGAAGTGAATTAGTAAACAACTTATATAGACTCAATATCATTTTTGTCATCTTTTAATAAATAAATAAAACCTATTTATACATGCTTATATAGATGAATTTTATTATATAAATTTAATTAAGAATTAAATTAAATTATTAGTATGAAAATAATTTATTTATGTAAGGGCAATATAGTAATCAACTTAGTTTTCATTCCGATTGAAATGAATTAGTAAACAACTTATATGGACTCAACATCATTCCTACTCCGATTCCTGACAGTTTTAGTAAACAACTTCAACAGGAATCTGATTCTGATTCCACCTCATTTCAATTCCTCCTCAATCCAATTCCCCCTCAATCCAATTCCTCTCAATTTGATTACGGATTAGTAAACGCGCCATTGTATTAATACGTGATGTTTCCTTACATGGCTGGCAATGGCGATGCCGAATATGCAGGTTGGCGGGCGGGTGGACGTTGAGAATAGAATTTTGTTACAGTGGCTGTACTCGACGGACGGAGGCTGCAGCTGGTGGTGGTTGAAGCTGTGTGTGCGTGCGTTGTCAATGATGTATAACAGAAACACAGATTGAATTAGTTGCTTAGGAATCTTGCTATCTGTGACTATACACAAACACAGTACGTGTTGAGCCAAAATCATGCATCCATCTTGCATTAACAACAGACGGCAGAGGCTTGAACGGAACAAAATGTTGCAAATAACCAAAATCAAAGTATATCCAAACTGCCACTACAGCGGTTGTTTTTAACCAAGAAAACATGCCTCCGATCCCATTTCATTATGGAAGGAAAAAAAATGAAATAAAAATACAGCATTTATAAATTTATGTGGGTTGATTGTTGTAATCTCAGACTTGGCAATGTATGTTTTACAAGTATAATTGAACATAAAATAATAATAATAATGATAAAAAAGAGGTGTTTGAATTAAATTAATGGCGACGAAGGAACCTTTACAAGTTAGAAGGAACGATCAAACGAACAAACCAACATCATCAAAAATAAAAGAAAGAGAAAGAGGAGAGAAGAGGGAAAGGAGAGAAAGAAAAAGACAACCAACGGTAAACCCACCAAAACCCTCTAACCCTAACATTCTATCAGAGGAGACGAAGGGCGCCGCCCTTGGCTGGTCTTTCTCTCTCTTGACGTTTAGCTGCTGCTTAACCTTCAGCTGCTACTGAGAAGAGGGAGAGAGAGAGAGAGAGAGGACACCATTGAAGGCGGCAGAGAAGAGGAGGCTGGGCAGCACTTGTTTGGGGTATTTCTCTGTCGACCAAACCCTAGTTGAGTAGTTAGCTAGGGCTTTCCCTTACCCCCGATATACGATTCTCTGTCTTTGTCTTTGTTTGTTGTTAGTTCTCACTTTTATCCTTCTTGCAGGGCATTCTAGTGCAGAGAAACCAACAGAAAACAAAATGGGGCTGCTAGTCTAACACTTTCCTTGCCGACAAGAGCCAGAGCAAATCATGGGGTATCGCGACACTCCCCTCCCCCCTATTTATTTCATTTATTTACTAACTAACTACTTAAGGGATAATTAATTTGATTTGTTTCATTTATTTTTCAATACTAAGGTAATTAATTGGGTGCATATCGGATGTCCTCCTTTGTTATATATTGGACTAGATTATTGAAACGAATTCGAGTGGATTGGATTGGATTGATCTCTAAAGTTATCAACCCATACCTAGGGATCCCTATTGAAATTCAAGTTATGTTACAATCAAAAAGAAGATATAAAACTCTTGTGTCCACCCCAACCAACTTACTTGGGCCCGGCTAGCATAAAGAAAACCTATCAATTCCAATTCCAATCCCAGTCCCAATCCCACTCAAATTGGTGGTAGGGTAGGAGGAAGGGAGATACCATGATAAATAGGAGGGATCATTCTTCAACTATCTTCAATATCTACCTTCAACTTTTAGGCTTCCCCATTCTAATCCATATCCCTATAGACGACCAAACGAGGCCTTGAAGTAACCTTTTAGCTACCGGTTTTGATTTATGTTCATATCCAATCAAATGAAATGAAATGTCCATTTCTAGTCATGCAGGAAACTTATTTAGGTATGGAGACTGACTCCACAACTCCCCTCTCTCTTTCCCTTCACCTATTAGTTTTGGTCTCTTTAAAATTAGGGTGATGCTCACCCCCCATTGATTGTCGTTAGCTTAGTTCAAAATTTCAAAATCCGTGTCTTAAATTAATTAAACTAGACTAATATAACGACTATCAATGATATAGTGCCGTCTTCTTTTTTTTTTTCCAAGGGATATTTGTTGACTGCCTTCCCAACTACTTCAAATACTATGTGGCAGTAGGGTGGACATGCAAGCGGATAATTAGCTCAACTAAAAAAATTTAGATTTTTCTTAATAAAAAAGTTGAAAAATAAATTAAACCCTAATTTTATTGTTTTAGAGTCCCTTACGTTGCCTCTTCCTCCCTCCATTGCCATATTTCTTGTCAATTCTTCCTTTTTTTTATTTTCTTTTATTCCTCAGATTGTCGTCCCTGTCCATTCGTTCCTAGTGAGATTATCAACACAAGCCAGCTTTGGTGATAACTTGGGGGATAATAGGCTGTACTCTCATGTCATTAACTATTGTTGGCTTAATTTTAATGAAAATGGGCATTGATGCATTATCTTATTTATCATATTTGAAGGAGAATATATAGGTACAAAGTGAATTGGTTAGATATGATCCCAAAGGATGTTCGCAGTCAAGGAGTAGAACATACATGTGTTGCTCATGCAGTCGCACAGACAGTGGAGGCTGCCCTGGCTTACAACTACGGGGTTGGACCAAGGGTCTCCGTGAGAGACTTGGCACTCAATGTAGGTGCGCCTTACATATTTGGAGTAGAACCACACACTGGCAAGGACAGTGGTTCATCCTCTTCATGTGAAGAAATTGAGATGACAGCTAGTGTATTAGCTTATCAGTCTGGTGGTGAGTCTAGGCCAGTAGATTGCTTTCAGTTCATAAGTGAACACGGGATAATGTTGGAAAAATTTTGGCAAGTGGAAGAAGGGACACTTATCGAACAAGATTGGGGGCCCGAAAATCAAAAACTACTCATGCATACCCACGCAAACACTCGACCAGAGAGAAGAGGAGTCAAAGTTGTGATCCATGGTTTTAAATGGTTCACCGAGCAAATCCCAATTGCACCCGGTATTCCTATGTCTGATCGAATGCGGATGCCCGG